TCGATAAGTATGTTTAAGTCTACATTATCGTAGGCAGCGGTTACATCCACGAACAGCGCAGTTGTATATTCCCCTCTATAAAATCCATTTCTGATGTCCGAGGTGATTTGCGTCAAATTGTCTGCACAGGACCTCCCTCTTCTGAATCCATTTTGATCCCTGTTTAATAAGTTATTCTTTTCTACCCACCATATCAGCCTTTCGTTTACCATTCTCTCCATTACTTTGCCTATACAGGATGCTAACGCTATCGGTCTGACCTTCTCTTGTCCTGGTTTGTCTATGAAGATTACTTGATATTCCTGCCAGCTTTTTGGTAACTGATTCCTCTTCCATATGTCGTTGAGTACCATTAGCATTTCCTGTTGCATTCTATCTGGCAACCGCTTGATCATGTCATATTCAATTCCGTCCCTTCCAGGTGACAGTCTGGCTGTATCAAAGAAAGGTTATAAACAACATCCACTATTGGCGCTAGTGAACAGAAAGAAAGGAATTTAATGCTCGTTTTCAGATTTTTCTCCAATATTCGCATACTGTTCTTTTCTATTAATGTCTATTAATTTTAAGATTGATAATTTACTCTTTATTTTTCTAATTTTAAAAATTAAAAATGAGATAAACCAGATAAAAATAAGTTAAGCCAAGCTTAAAGTTATATTTACTGAACTAGAAATGAACATAAAACATTATAATTGATTACACTATTTAGAAACCAAAGGTTGAGAAATAATTCAGTTTTTTGTTTTGGTTTTTGTTATAACATCTTCTACACATATACATTAAAGAAAAAATTGAAATAAAAGATGAAGAATAAAAGAATAAATTATTTCTCTTTATTTTAAATATGTGCATGCATTTATTTTTTAAAAAAGTAACTTGATAAAATTTTTATAAAACGCCCTTATAAGTAATATAATGGAAAATTATTTTATATATATTTATTAACATGAAGCTAGTGACCGATACAATGCTATACAAATGCTATACACCGTTATGAAAAATACAACAATAATAACATAACATTTTCATATACAGGATAACATCTTTAAAGGAATTATATTCAACAAGACAGACGTCTTAAGCTAAAAAGAAAATTTATAAATGATATCAACGATAAATATACATATATAAATCTTAATATAAGTGAACACAAATATTAAAAATAGAAATATAATAAATAGTTTCATAAGTATGCCATTATAAATGTTATATAATTTTCATATCACGTATCATACGGGATAAAAGATATTCGCATATTATATCCATTCACGCAACAATTCTTTGCTACATTGTATGATTTTATAAACACTAAATTATCAAACATCCAAGATCAGAAATGCAATGTAAATGAGTGCAGATTAAACGATAAAACGATATTTCTCATAAAATTATAATCTTTATCACGGCAGATTAAAGTCGGTCAAACCCGACTAAAATGTAGGTCGAAGCGGCCTAAAAGCAGACGGCTGAATTTGCAGAAAATGAATATATTTTTTCAGATTAATAGCATAATCCGAAAATATATTATTTTATTTTATTTTGAAGAATAATCTTGTTTTTCCGTTTTCGAGAACGGAACATACATTTTACATTAAAGAGAGTGAGGTCTTTTCTTGGAAGATGTGTGACCTTTAAAAAACGTCACCGATAATATTTCTGGAATGCTAAATCGCTTCGTAGGCCACATCGATGCCGATTCTCGTAACTGAGCCGTTTAAAAATTCTTCAAGCTCATCTCGCTCTCGATTCTCGTCTCTCGATCGATGTGAGGAGCGTTTTTTCTTTTTTTCAGTCTTCTCTGTTTTTCTTTATCCTTATCTTTGTCTTTTGACTTTTTCTTTTTCCTCTTTTCTTTCTCATCTCCCTAGAATCAACAAAGAAAAAATATATTAAACTAAAAAGACAATTTAAAATTAATCACAATGATTATAGAATTGAAAAACTATGCTTTCTAGTTCAGCAAAATTCTCTTTAAATAAGTTACTTATACAAGCTAGCCTCCTCCTACCTTTTCTTTATGTTTCTTTCTCTCCTTCATTACTGGACTACTAGCATTGGAACTCACATGGCGCATACTAGTATCATCGAGCAACTCTAAATGAACGTTAGAACTCGTCACACTAACATCCAGGCTCTTATCGCTCAATTCTAGTCTGTCTTTCCTCGTACTAGTGCTACTCACGTCTTCACCTCCTTCAGGACTTTGCCGCCATTTTGAATCCCGTCGTAGCCAGCTATCAAAAGCGTCTGAGTTTATATCTGGTTGCTCATTCGACTCATATTCATTAGAAATACGCAATTCTTGTTCTATGGAAGAAACAGAATCACGTTTCATGTCTTGTCTTGGTTTCTCAATATTTATCTCTGGACCTGATAACGGTTCTAACTTGTGTTTCTGTTTACAGAGGGGATTTTCTGCTAATTTTGGCTGTACAGGAGAAGCTACTTCTTCGATGGATGATAAGTCGTCCTCATAGCCAGCTACTAGAGGATTACCTGTTTCCATGTCACTATATAAAAATAAAAAAAATATGATAATATTAATATCAATACTATAAAATAAAAGTTAATTTTTAATAATTTTTAATAATTTTCATATTGATTTTAATAAAAATGATTAATAATAATTTAATATTTTTAACTATTACAATAAGTTTGAATAAGACAAAAGATAATCTGCTTTGTAAGCCTTGTATAAAGTGTAAATTACAATCATTTTCAGATTTGTATTTTATTTATCTTTTTTAAAAATATAAATTCAAGATAGCTTGTGGAAAGTTTTTTGCTTACCTCTCAGAATCTGCTTGTTCTTGCTGTACTTTTTGAGGCGAGACATGACTGTCTTCCAAAAACGATTTATCTAGCATTCCATCATCTGGAACGAAATCTTCAACACTGGTTAATGGTGCGTTTAAACTAAGATTTTTAATATTTGGCAGTTTCCCATCCGTTTCGTCTTCCTTTTTGTGACCGAAGATTTTGGACATAAGTGACGATCGATTGAGCGAATCTCTTCTCTCATCGTTGTCATTCACAAATTCAGCCAATTTGGCCATTTCTATCTTAGTAGTGGAATTTTGCGAAACGGATGATGTCGCAATCTGTGATGTTTTCGTAGAATTGGATACGTTCTCCAAAGTACTTGTCACGGAGCTCTCTTTTCTTGGTAACAATTTCATTTCCAAATTTTTCACTGGTATTGGAGTTCCACCGCCAATCGGACCGGGCATTGACACTGACCGTCTGACTTCTCCAGTGATATTCGCATTGGAAGGTGCAAGGTGATGATTACTCATGGATGACGAAATAACATTTGAGATTAAGTTACTGGCGGATACAGAGTCAGCGAGAGCTCTTCTACGATTCACGAGATTATCTAGGAATTTGTTATAGTCAGCGTCATCGCTATCTTGGAAAAGATCGAGTTCCTGGATAGTCAAACGTGTTTCTTCCTCGTTGGTGTCAAGCTGCTTTAACAGTGTCTCGCGTTGCAATTGTAGAAACGGTAAATTAAAAAATTTGTGCAGCAATTTTAGACCAAAACCGTTTCGCATCGATGACTCTGCATATCTCACCTACAACAATTAATTTACATTCAGAATTAAGAATATAAAATTTTTAATTGTAAATACTGCATATATTAATAAATCTTTTTTATTATCAAGGAAATGATTGGTAAAATAGAATTAATATAAAGCATAATTTTATAGAAATTTTAATTAAAAGATTTATTGTAATTATATATAGAAAGCCTCAAGCCTATTTTATTAATAATATATAATATTTATTAAAATATTAATTCTTAAAAAATGGAAGATATGAAATTAATTCTTTTTTAAAATTAAGAAAAAAATATTAAATAAATAATTTCAATCAAATGATTAATAGACACATTGATTTTAACTTTTTTTAATTTACTACCACCAGAATGTTAGTAACTAGATATGCGTCAATCATAAAAATAACAATTATTTCAATTACTTGTGCTGTTCTCTCGTGCAATGAATCTATAAAATACGTCACGTGATCCGCGGTAACAGTTCTGTGATGCGACATGTCACAATGATTGCCGAGGACGATGACAGGTATATGGCTAGGTATTTTCGGCAGCTCGCGCTGGACATAATCAAAAGTCCAATTCTTCGTAATGTCCATTACGATGATGACGCCGTTGGTACCCTTGTAAACATCGAGAAATTCGGCATCCAGAGCAGGCTCCTCAATAACGTTCTCTGCGTTAGTCGGAGCATTGTCCATTTTCAAACCCTCCAATTTTCGGCGGCGTCTACCGCGATCTACAACATCCCATACCTCCACCTTGACGACGTCGTCGGTGGCCTTATAATTCCACTGTATACTTGCTACCTGTATCTCTTCCGTAGGTATATATTCTTCGATAAACTTCTGTCCCTGCAGTCTATAGAATAAACATGTCTTTCCTACATTCCTGTCTCCTTTTATTATTATTTTCACTAAAATAATATGTAAAGTTTGTATTACAATTAATAGTCCTATTTCCATCGTTCTAAAGCAGGCGCGTGATACTTACTATTATATTGCACTCCTTTGGCAAACTTTCTTTGAAGATTTGTAGGCATGGATTGATGGGCCGGTCTGGGAGACATATTGCCGACCCCATCAGACTTGCCGGCTAGTCTTTTAATTGCAGAAAACATTGTGCAATCTTTCCTCAAAGAAGCATCAATTTAAATGATTAATTTTGATGTCTGAAATGAAGAGTCGACTATAAAACAATACCTATAAGCAATATATCAAAATAAATGTAAATTGGTTTATAAAAGTATAAATTTAGTATATATATTTTTACTAAACGCAAACTGAAGGCTGAATAAGGCTGAAATTTTCTTCATTAACATAAGAACACACTGTGGCTTACGACACAAACTAAAAACATATTGTGAATGATAACGATGATAAATGAGTTAATTGCTCCGTACGACGATTATTACAGCGTTAAAAAATTTTGTCTATGTCGTACAACGCGATTACCGCGAAACACATCGTCGTACTCTTTAGAACAATTAATGCCCGGAGCGATTAATACCCACGCATTCCATCAAAACGAGATCTGACACATCGACCTAAAGCGGATTTCTTTTTCTTTCCTTCGCGGCGTTGTCGAAAGAATCTCGTTCGACAAATCGGCAATTTCGCGGCGCGTAGACAGATGAAAACATCCCGAGAACTCGTGAGAGACCGCGTGAAATCGCGCTTACCACATGCGTTGCATGTTCCGAGCCTCGTGAACGAAGCCCTCGCCGCTGGAGCGACTCTGAGACAGCTGTCATGTGCAGCAGCTGTTTCTTCTTCTCTCTCACTCGCACGCTCGGCGTCGCAAAGTTGGCAGCGCCGATGGCCCTTCGGCGGGCCATTCGGAAAAAATCGATCATTGATAAACCCCTCGTGATAACAAAACCGCAGATCAATCCGCAATCGCAAGTTTCTCGTTAATATTCGAGTCACAGTGCATCTGCTTCTCGTTCCGAAGAGCTTTTCTTACATCGCGAGGAATTATTTTATACTCATTTTATTTTAAATATACGAAAAAAATTGTGAAAAGAAGTCTAAATTTTGCCTCGGCAAGTTCGATTTTTTTCAAAAAGATATGTACGTTATCGATTTTTGTGTCCGCAAAAAAATAAATACATTGTTTTTTTAAATAACGCATTATTTATTTCTCTTCTCTCAGAAATGAGGTTTTCTAATTTACGCAAACTATATCACAGACGCATTAAAAAAGATATAATAATACAATGAAATAAATGTTTTAATAATAAATAAATAAATAATGTTTTAACAGAAATAGCTAATACGCTATCTAAATTTCTCATTTTTCGTATTCGAAAAATTATAATAGCATTTCACACTGAAAATAAAACAAATACAAAAAATGATAAACATAAATACATCAACTTTAAGTTATTACACAATAAAAAAATACTCTTTCGTCAAAAATATCATATTATATCATATTAAATTCGCTGATTCTCGGTTACTGAAATTGAGCAATAAAATATAGTAATCATTAAAAATAAAGGAAAAAAATGATAAATATAAATCAAAGAATACAAATGAGAGGAGTATTATATTAATTATACGTTGTTACGCAATAGAAAGAATATTCTCTTACTAAAAACTATATCATATTAATTCTTAGTCATCAGAATCGAGCAACACGTTGAACCGTATAGAGTTTGTATTTCAAAAATAGTTTATTACTAAAAATTACAAAAAAATTATAATCTAACATCGTTACATATTGTTATCACTATTAGACTCCATAGTAGCCTGGCAGAGCAAAGGTTGTAATTCCTCTCGCACCAAAGAGTGCTTATCACCATGTGTTATCATTAATATCATATTAGCTTTGTTTAGTGCTTTGAGTGCTTCTTTTGATTTTTCCAAATAGAACTGTACCTTTCCTATCATGAGATACAGCCATCCTGTCAAAGGATGCACTTCCCCTAAGTACAATCTAAAAAAAAAAAAACAAGTGACAATATCCTCTATTGTGATTATTAATATTGTAGTTTTTATTTATTAAAACACACAGAGAATAAATGAGGGCAATTATTTCACATCATTTTCAATTAATTGGTCATATGTATATCTTGATTATTTATTAAATGTTGTAATAAATTAGTATAAAATCAATAAAGATTGTTATATTATTTCAAAGTTAGAAAATTAATTTTTTGCAAATTGAATTATTATCTGTACAGATAATTACATATTAGACAAATAATCACTCACAAATATCCTGGCAAAAGTTCCATGCCATAAAGCTCAGCATCTTGCCAAGATTCCAGATTCACAGCCGCGGTATGAGCCAATTCCAACGTACGAATATGTTGTATATTGAATTTGTGCAATACACCTTTCTGCTTTTTTAAACATACCTTACTAACATCAAGATCTATGCTATTAATAAGGATAAATATGAACATTTTATCAATTTATCATGATATATTAATATATATATATATATATATATATATATATATATATATATATATATACTATATATATATATATATATACTATTATCTACCTTACCTTCCTCGTGTCGTCGTACGTACGTACTATACATATATATATATATATATATATATATATATATCACATATTAAAAAGATACAAGCCATAGTTTTCATTTTTTCCAAGTGATGAGTGGTAAAGGTGACAACTTCCTGAAATGTTTCCTTAAATTCTATAGATATTTTTGCATTGCACTTTTCACATTTATCAGCTTCAATCGAACACGGAGAATCGCACGATAAGTTTGGACATGCGGCCGCTTCGGCCATTAGTTCCTCTCCTTTACATCTTTCACAATCACACCAAAAGTAATATGAACTGTGCAGTTCTTCACGTCTGGCTTTGTTTGAATTTAGTAAATCGATGTATGATATTCTTATCTGTGCAAATATAAAATTATACATTATTTTGAAATGTAAAGCATTTGTTAAATAGAATTTTTAAAGGCAAATTTTTAAAGGCCAGAATTCTTAAAAGAATTGTTTTTCAATTATATATCATAAGTTTGCAATATTCTTTGTCAACACTCGCCTGTGACCAGTCTAAAAAAGGAAGATCTGTCAACGTTCTGACAATAAGGGTAGTCCCTTCGAAAGTGACAACTGCATTGGGTTTGCAACTGTGATCCATCACAGATGCTCCCAGATATATACCAGCTCCAATAGTATTCATATCGAGATCCAATATATTAAAGCAGTTTGTACACAATCTGCCATAAATACCCATCAGCTCTGCCACATTGGGTATTAATGTCTCATCAAGAAACTGGAATAAAACTCCACACAACATAGTGAAATGCTCTAGACGCTTCGTGTCTGTTTTTATGTCTGAATAATCTATAAAGATACAACAAGATTTTATAACCATCTTTTTACTCTTTTTTTTACAAAGTACTTACGAGACATCAGATCCTTGAATTTCCTAAAGTTTTTTTCACTATAATAGCCCATTTCATTGGCTCCACCTTGATTGAGCTTAAGAATTATACGTGCCATAAGCCGAGCTGCATCTGGCATTTCTCTCGGGAAAATCTTCTTCAAACGTGGACATTCTGCTTTGTGTATTGGCCATGATTCTTTTTGGCACTTACGATCGCAATAATACACATACTGACAACCCGAGCATTTTGACAATTTTCCACTGTAATAATAGATCACATTTATGTCCATTTCTTTCAACATATATTAATTTTAATCTCAGTTTAACTTATATCTTCTTTCTGTCTTAAGAATTAGAAAAAAAAATAAAAAGTAAATTGAACCGACTAAAGTTAATCTATATTGATAAAAATGAACATAAAATATTTTGTTTTTGCTGATTAATTGTAACAAATTTAAATACATTTCCACATTCCATTTTCTTCTATCTCCATTTAATGTAAATTAGCTTTAATCTCAGTTTAATATTAACTCTTTGTTTTTTTATTATAAGAATTAAAAAGATAAAATAGTAAACAAGATTAAAATTAATATACATTGGTAAAAATGAACATCAAAGTGATAGTATACATCAATCGCATTTATATATATAATAATCTGATTTGCCATGTGCAAAGTCAATTCAATCCAAAATAATTTAAAACAAGACAATGGAAAATCGATAACAAATATTTTGCGATTTCATTCATTATTCTATACCCCTTCAAACAATTGTCACATCGAGTAGTCCTGCATTTCGAGTTGAGAATAAAAGCAAACGGTTTGCTAGTAAAGATTGTTGTTCCTCTTTTCAGTATGTTGTCGCTCATGTTTTGCAGAAGACATAAACTACATTTGTGAAACGTTGAGGTTGATCTTTTCATTTGAAGTATGTCAAATTCTAAAGCGTAATCTAACCTAGATTATTCATGTTCGACGAACAAGTGAAGTAACCTACACACCTTTAAAAATGTTACGAGACCTCTTTTCCTTAAAAAAAGAACGGATGATAGATAAGACAAACCGGCGTTATTCGTAACCTCAAAAATTCCAACGTGTTGCATCTTTTACTAAATTTTTTACTCGTTAAATTCGAAATATCTCGTTATAAAATAAATGCAGTTCAATAATACAGAATTTTTTCTCATAGAAATGTATGAAAACAGAAATGCATTTGATTTTGTGGTTCTTTAATTTAAACAGCTGTTTTCAAAGATTTGTCACATCAAATTCTTAATTGTGTTCTACATTTTTTTGTTGGGTCATTCTACAATTAATTCCATATTAAATGATTTGTTGTTTAAAAGTTTAATCTGAATTTTTTAAGACAGATTAAAAAATACATAAACAATTTGAACAATATTGAAGATAAACTTGTTATTTAATTTTTAATTTATATAAAATTATCCCTAAAAATAAGATTATTTATGAGAACAATTAATACAAATTTTCTTTTCCTTTTTTTTCTAAATATTTTACATAAACAATATAATTTGTATTCTAGAAAGTCGATATCATTTATATACTTTAAAATCAAATTAAAAAGAAAGGATTATAAATTTACAAAGATTTTTTTTTAATTGTTCTGATGTTACTTAATATAAAACCATATTCTTAAATGTAAAAAGTTAAAAAATATATATAAACACCAATTGATAGTAACATTACACTATTATATTTCTCACTTGGCAATACAAGCATAATATAACATGTGTTGCATAGTTACATTGTTGAGTGAGAAATCATAATATTGATGTAATGTTGTTAGTTGATGTTTATTGGAAGACTTTTAATGAATCATTTATATTAGTTCATTATAAATTATAGACAGAAAATGGTGTTCATTTGAGAATCGGCTCTTACATTTAGTGCTTTTATAATATCAGAGTTTTATAAATTAATATGAAATATACATACATGTATGTAAAATTCAGATTTAAATAATTTCTTATTCAACATACATTGTATATAATTTTGTATAAAAATTACAGAAATATATTCACAATATAATTACAATCATATGTAGTATTTCATGAATAATACTTACACAATAAATTATGAAATATAGAACGAAATTATTATCTCGTTAAATTATATATTTATATAGTATATTGCACAATTTTGTTACAAATAATTTAAAAAATAAATTGATAAAATCTTGAAGATATCATAAAAGTTTAACAATTATTAATACAAGGGAATGTAGAATAAGGTATAACAGGAATGGAGAAACAACAGAGGAAAAGACAATTCTATCAAGATTATCTTTTTTTATCTATCTATATCTATATATATATATATATATATATATATATATATATATATATATATATATATATATCTGATAAAACATTTTTTACCTTTGTAGGCAATAGTCGCATCTTTCTTCGCGCACCACCGATCTTACAACATAGGCAAATGGTTTCTCATACAAAATAGTGGTACCTTTACTCACAGGTACTTGCGTACACCCTTGGTTCTTGATTCTCATCTTATTAAACTTTTTGGAATTTTACTTTTTCACCGATTAGCCTCGTACAGGAGACGTCGAGAAGACGTTGCACTTTCCCTACTAACTTTATAATATTACATTCTTCTTTCTCTCTTTCGTCTTACTGATGTATAGAGAGAGGCTCGAATGCATGCTATTTTAAGATCAGTTTATTTTCGCATGACATATTATTGGAGCTAACTATAATTAACCCTTAACCTGCTGATTTCTTATTAACAATCCATTCTTTCTCTCATATCTCATAATTAAGACAAATCTGGAACACTTATTTACAAATTACAGTTAAATAGAAAAAAAGTTATAGTGAAACTAGAGTCGACGGATTTTTCTCCCTGGAAATTCATAGATCTTAGATTCAGGGAAGTGGAAGCATATATCTGGCATTAAAACTCAAGTTTTTTTTTAACAATCACTATTAAAATTAGGTAAATTAAAATACATAGAAAAAAAATACATTATCCACATCAGACGCAGCGTCATATGTACAATGCCGTTAACCGTTTTATATATAGTCTGTGTGTGTGTGAGTGCATATATGTATTGTATCTTTTTTCTTGTCTTTCCTTTTATGTCTACTTTATATTCTAAAATATCATGGATAGTTTTACTGATCATCTCGAAGTTTCGAGTGTTTTCGTCGCAGTATTAAAATATGGACCTTGATTAAATGATTAATCAAACTAAAATCATCACCCTAGACCGGTGATGTCGATGCAATGAGTTTCTTCATTTAATGCATGATTTAACTAGGATTTTTTTGAGCGTATAAAGGAATAAAAATGGGAGACATAATAATTCATGACAATAATCCAGTGACACATTTTCCACATCCCCAAGTAGGATTGTTTCTACCATTCTTTTTTATGTTCATCCATCGATACACCACCTGGACCTAGAGAGACTATCATCAGAAGGCCACCAATGACTGATAATGTCTGCAATAAAATATAAATGCATGAGAAATTAATGCCACAAAGTTTGCATAAATAGTGAAATCACACCATACTGATGGAATTATATCAAATTAAAGATCAATTGATATTAAATCATTGCCAAATGATAATCACTTCAAAATTAAATTACAATTCAGATTCAAAATTAGCAACTTTTTTTTCAAGTAAAAATTAATAATTTTTCTTTAAATAGCTTTTTTTCTAGATTAGATTGCATTTTATAAAGTTATTTTGCAGAAAGAAAATATTAAAAATATTGTGATATTCTATTTATATATATAAAAATATCTGATCGATAGAAAGAATGAATGAATAAACAAATGTAACAGAGTAAAATCAGAGAAACTTACTTGGAAGAAATCATATTTGAGAAAATCCCTAAGCGGTTTGTAGTCAGGAATAGTCCACCATGCATTGTGGTAGAAATTTAATGAAGTCAGTAAAATGACGAATAATAACGCGCTCAGTTTAGTTTTGTAGCCCAACGTCACTAATACCATAAAAATGCTGCCGACAATGTCCTGAACGATCTGCATAAAAGATAGTTCAAAGCGGATCAGCGTGATGAACATGAATGCCAAGAGAATCCGACCAGCTAATTGTAGCAAATTTTTGGGTTTGTTATCGCCGAGACTAGGTACACCAGCGAACAGTGATCTACCCTCAACTCGGGATTCAGCCAGTACCAATAGAAGCGCTCCTATCAGCGCCAGATTCCTTAATAAGAATTGCATGTCCCATAGAATGCTATAAGCAATAGTCTGTAGGATCACGATGAAAAATAAGATGCTGCAGGCTATGCTGACTCGCCATCTGCCAATCACCATGATACATCCACCGAGTTGTCCCACAAGGTTCACAAGGACAAATATAGTAGCCAGGAATTTTCCACAGCCCCAAGAAGCATCCATATATTCTCGTTGTTCGCTCCATTGGAACCACATTCGTAAACCATCCTCTAGGAATGTAGCAATAAGACACAATCGTGCCAATGTTGGAAGCACATGTTTGCCATTGCGGATCACCTATTGTAATAAATAAATATTTTTAATAACATTTTTAATAACATGCGCTTTAATTTGTTTAATTTAATGTTAACTAAATAAAAAAAAATTATATTATATAATAAAGATGGTTCATAAAATTTCATTAAAGATTCTAAGCACAATATTTTGAATTTTACTTTTATTTTTATAAATTGACTGAAATTTATAATAGTTTCAGAATCGTTTTTATCGAAATTTTATTTTATTAATATCTCTTTCATATATGTTTGAAATTTACTGATCAGAAAATATGTCGCATTATTATGTATAAGTACGAAAAGTAGGTCTGTGAAAGTGTAAGCAATAAGATCCATATGTCTATAGGAACTGGATCGTTGCACATAAACATCTTATTCGGACAAAAAATATTTTCACTTATATACCCTCGTGAGAATTCCGCGAATAAAATTCTCTATATTGACCTCTCGCATGAACTAAATTGCGCAAACGATAAATGATAAGAGCGGTATATTATCGAAAAATCAGAGTCATCATTGTACACATATGTAACTGTGAATATATGAGATGAATTTGAAAATCCGTTCATGTATCAAACGGTAAGAATCTATAGGATGACCGGTGAAGACAGGCAGATGAAAACACATCGTATTCGGATCATCGTAGCGACTCGCGTGTGCCTCCGCCCGGGATTTCGGGAATTCACCTGTAGAATTCATAACCTCGGCGAACGCGGTCCTTAATCGCGGCATAACTATCTCATCGTACGATAAGCGAGAAAGCGCGCATATATAAAAATATCAACATGCGCGCGTGGGTTGATGACGTTGGACAGGAGCAAATCGCCGCGTGGCTCGTGATCCTGTAGGACCCGTGAACTTCCGTTTTCTCCCGTAAATACATCGTAGGGGATCCGCGGGTTCGCGAGTCGCGCGACGACGACGAGAGTATGCGGCGCGGTTCGCGCGAAATTCACCTGGTCGGCTATTTCCTCCGCCCTCGAGAGAATTTCCTGCGAGATCACCATTGTGGTGCACCGTCTTTCAAAAACCCGGAAAAAAATCTACCCATACACACACCAACGTACACACGTGCGCGCACGCAAATGGCACGACGCGCGCGACGGCCACGGCGCGGCGAAGAGGGTAGTGAGGGGGGGGATGCGCCAGGTGGCAGCACCGATCGCGCCCCCCAAATGTGTGATGTGGAGATCGGCTGGTTGGCTGGCGCTGCGCGCGCATCGCTTCCGGCGTACGTGGTCGCGCGGGAGTAGGCAGCGACGTTCGCCGCCGAAATTCGATGTAACGCCGCGAGTGCCGGAATACAAACGGGGAGCCGTGATTCGGAATCTTGCTCTTGTCGGCTTCGTTGGCTAAGGAATCTAATTCATGTTTAACGTTGGCAACGTTGTCAGAATCATTTCATTTTTATGTTCATCAAATGGCTGTGTTCAACAGGAAAAGCAACTTTGCAACCATTGTAAGATTCTTCAATTTGATTAGTTTGTACATTTTGACCCGTGAGGACCTAAGAGCAGAAATCAGTGATATCCAAGATTTTTACAATTGCAAAGCTGCTTTCTCTGCTGAATACAGCCATTGTTGAACAAGAGTAAACGATGATTGCGAGCATTGTTGCGAATGTTACGTGGAACGCAAGAATTATATGAGCTGCGCCGTGTCGCAAGGTCACTCTGTACGTATTTATTTTGATGTCATTAAGGGTCGGCGAAAAACTATATAGATCTCTATGTTAGATGAATTCTTGTTGACTGTTATGGCTACGATATTAAGAAATTTGCATTTGCGATATTTAAAATCAAGATAATCGTCTGCAAGCTGCTACAGAACGATTTTTTTAAAGTAAAAATAAATAATTCGTATCATTGGATTTACACTATTAATACAATAAATATTAAATTATTATTATAAATTAGTGCAATAAGATAGTAAAAATTGGAATACACATCCTTCAGATTATCAAAAATTTATCGAAATTTTTGAAAATTCTATCTTTCGAGAAGAGATTAAAAACAGTTTAATAATATTTCTATGTTTTGATTTGAGATTGTAGTATTATGGATCGTATCAAATAATGATTTACCAACGATAGATATAGCATGCATCAAAAATAGTTATCAGCATTGCAAAGGAATGAATGTGGTTACATAGTTTACATCCACTTTCTCAGTTGGCGCTAGGAGTCTTATGAATCAGAATTATGTCGCGATATAATAATTTTATGAATTAAAATTATATTAGATTACATTCACAATTTTAATTTATAAATAAATAATTTTTGAGAAGTAATAAATAATTATTTTTAATAATAAGTAATTAATAAATATTGTAATTCTTCTTTAAATAATTATTTGAAAACTTTATGTTAATATCAATATCTATTATTTAAAAAATAAGATAATTTATTATAGATTTTTGTCTAATTTTTATTATGTAGATTAGATGTAGATTATCTAGTAGACCATGTAGATACCGCAGCATTTAGTAATAGTATTGTGTATTTGTAAATTTTATGTTCATGACGCTTGCTTTTTAACAGTGTACGTATTAAAATTGGAATAATAAATACAGAAAAATCAAAGTTTCGATTATAAAATAATATATAGCATTACTATTTAACTTTTTATAAAAAAATATATATATATTTAATTATTAATAATATTAATCTGATTAACAGATATACAGAGAACAACGTTTATCCAGAGGATATCCATACGCTGCCCCAATGCATAAGTTATATAGTCAACGTGCAATTATCTGAAAAATTGTAAGGTAAGAAGTTAATTTTAAGTTTAATTGAAGAAATTGATAAGTTGGAAGGGAGTTTTTTATTTTTTTCTTCTAATTTCTTTATCAATATAAGACAGTGATTTTTTTCATTTAATTTTGAAAAATTGTTTTTTTTTTTTTCAAATTTTTGTAATATTCTATTTATTAATTATTCTTTTATCTATAAATTACTTTTATCTATAAATAACTTGTTATCAAACAAGAAAAAAAAACACATAATATAATCATGTAAAAATTGATTGATAATTATTTTATTTTTAATGTAAATGTAAATTATTATATTGAAATAAGATTAGATAAATCAAATTAGTCCTTTCTTCACTTTAACGAACTCTCATTTAATTTCTTGAAATCTGTTCGGAAATCGAGAATTATTTGCTCATCTTAAATTTTATTTTCTTTAAAAGTCGCCCTTAAAAAGATTTTCTCTGTGAAATATATTTTATATTTTATAAAATTTTCATTTCTCAAATGCATGAAGTCGACAAGTACGACCGTCGTCATTTTGACTCGAGTTTTCGTTCTAGATGCCGCTTTGCGATACTCGCTATCTACTACTGCGAATACGTGCCACGTGTGTACGTTGCGTATATCAAGTTGTAATAGAGACGAGTAGGTTTACTATCGCTGCTGTTGCCGGTAGGCGCCGAGTTACTTGACTCCCTATCCTATTTAGGACTGGACAGGAAAGGGACGAGCTGATGAGCATTTGCCCGCTGATCTCGCTCCCGTCTAAATGGTACACACAGGTAGTTCTCTAGTAACGCGGAAACTCCGTTGAACTTCCGCGTATGTATGTCTGTACTATAAAGCCGGTTCGTCGGATCTCGATGGAAACTTTAATCGAATAAGGAAAAAAATATCTGAAAAAGTGAATAAATCTTTTCCGTTTCACAAAAATCTAACTTTTCTGCAAGAGGTTGACAAAGAGAGGAGAGGTGGACATTTTTATATATGATATATTTATATCAATTTTTTTTTAAATGCCGTCTACAGAGCAGATACTTAAAATTTAGTTAGAAAAAAGCTTTGTTTAGACATTTTTATATTTTTTGTGTTTTGAATTAATTTAATTTTATTAGCATTTACGGAAGCTTTTATCGCTATTATTTTATCCTGTTTAAACCGTTTCTTTTATACATTAATTAATTTTACATAATCGAGATAAAAAATATCCTATTGGTTCGAAAGCGAGAAAAATTTCTAATATAGTATTTCACTTTAGTACGTTACTTATCGTATAATTTTACATCTTTAATAATGACTTTAGTTTTAAAGATATCATTTTTACAAATTTATATCAAAATCACCAATCACGAATAAGAAATTTAATTATCTATCTTTGAATACGAAATATAACATTTTCATGTATATTCACAAAAATTTGCATCGTAATCTTAATTATCTTATTTACATTACGTATATATTCCGAGAAGTACAAGAAACATCTGAATCAAGATGAAATATGCAACGCTTCCTGAAACGGTGACTTTTCCATCGGACTTGCCTCCGCTTTCTTGGAAAGCCGCCGCGGGGGTTGCAAGTGCATCCCTTCGCGCCGACCTCGCGGCGGCAGCGACGGCCGCGGTCTTATCGCGACCTACGGTCGAGACTTACGTAAGTCGAGGACCGAGCGAGTGGTCGCATTCGTTCCTCGAAGCGTCGTCGCAGCGGGAATCGAGCGACGAGAACCCGGTTGTGTGTGTGCGCGCGCGAGGCTGTCTGGCGCCGCGCTGTCGCATCCCATACAGAGGATTGCTTTCGCACAGAGACACAGACGGGGTCCTCTCTCGTGGGTGTCCGGTCGAGAAGAGAGATAAACGGGGGGAGGGAAAAAATCGGAACTACAGCTATCTCGAAATGCCGATGCTCAGCGCATGCATCGGTGTGCTATTATTCGGACGGAATCGTATTTTATCTTCGTCAGAAAAATCCGCAACTTCGTTAGTTACAATTAGATATAAATGTTGATTAACCGGTGTAATAAGACATTTTCTTATTTAAGACGAGTGAAAAAAATTATTTGTCATTTGATATGACTCGAATAAATAGATGAAAGAATTAAACTATTAAAGAAGGATTATATATTGATTAGAAAATAAGATTGTATGTGTATAATTGAGATTTTGATATTTTATAACGTGAAATGTGTAATTAATAATTGTGATAAATAAAAATAAGATGGATGATGATACAGTTTTGAATTTCTGCGCGAATACCATGAAATTTGAGTACTTAATTTTCAATTATAAGTAATAAGAGCTGTTTAAATATTTACAATCGCAACAGTTTCCCCATTAGTGCACTAATTAGTACGGGAATGTCTCTACGGTGCTAAATGATACTCTATAGGAATCTTCATTTAAATATCAGGTATCTCAAATGAATGAACATCTAATCATTCGTTTAGAAAATCATGTTAATTGTAGGAAATTTCTCCAGATTTGTCTCCGAAGATTAAAAATCTTTGATTAAATTAAACCGACTTAAATAATTTAAGAAAGAAATTTTTATAAATTAAATTTAATTGACTCCGAAAAGAGAATTATATATATATATATATATATATATATATATATA